ATGTCTGAGTGTGTGGTTGTAGGCGTGTGATGGACTGGGGGACTGGTCCAGAGCTTCTTCTTGTCTATTGACTAACAGGCAACAGCCCCTCTTGTTACAAAGGGTTTAAAAAGGTATAGAAATGTGATGCATGGCTGACTGTACTACCAAATGAAAGGTTTTTTATGTGAAAGTTATTATCAAGGTAAATGATTAAGTTCTCTCAATATAGACATACCTCTGACATTTTTACAGTAAAGTGTATGTGTGGAGGAAACAAAACATACCTAAAGGTATAGTGGAGGATTTTTGCAAATTTTTGAAAAGACCCGCCCTCTGCACTTAAAAAAAAAATAAAAAATGCACATGCACAACTCCATGCAAGCACAAGCCCATGTCTCCTTGTGCACGATTTGTTTAAAAGTTGATGTTTGCATCGCTCATAAAAGCTTACTGTACTTACCAAAAGAAGATTTGCAATTTTTCAAATATGTTATACTCACCACCGGTAAGCGAAAATGGGGACGAGCACGTAGGATGGCCTTATGTAAACAAATCACCAGAATGATTGATAATTAGGAGGACCCCTTATTTTGATCATCCACCCGAAAAAAAAGAACATCCTCCACTATACCTTTCAGAAAATGTGCTTTCTTGTATGGTGGTGGTTGCATCATCCTAAGGGTTTTTTTCCCCCACTTCAAGTGGGACTGGTGTATTGCATAAAGTAGATTGAAAACTAATGAAAGCAATTTCCAAATTCTTCAACTTGAAATCAGATTATTACTTAGACTTCTTAAAAACAAGCTGTTTTTTCCCATGTAGATACTAACTGCTCACTTTACTATCAAAATCACAAAATTGATGTTAAAGCCCATCATGGGTGAGTGAAAAGAATAGAATAATAAAAATTCAACTTTATTGTCATTGCAATGTCACAAGTGCAAAGCAAAGAAATTCACTCTCTGCATTTAACCCATCCCCTTGGGGAGCAGTGGGCTGCCATTGTGCGGCGCCGGGGGAGCAGTGTGGGGTTAATGGTCTTGCTCAGGGACCCAGAGTGGCAGTCTGTGGGAGTGGGGCTTGAACTCAAAACCTCTGGGATCCAAGCACAATGCCCTACCACTAGGCCACCACTCCCCTTCTGACAAGAAAAATTCTGACCAGAACTGGAACCATAGTTATTTATTCAACCTTGTTAAAGCCAAAGTGACTCCAAACTGCAGCAAGCATACAACCACTGGGTTGTGTTCTTCCATCTTTAAATGTACAACAGCATAGACGTATCTAAGCAGTTACACTAATGGTTACACTAGCAGTTACACTAAGTGTGCTTTGGTACATGACTTTAAAATGGTGCAAGAAAAAACGTGCAAAAGTTATACTATCACTTCCTCTATAGGCAGCTTTCTGGGCTGTAAAGGTGGAAATATGGAGGAAAAAAACCCATCTGGCTGCTCTGAATGAGAAATGCTTGTTCTGTTTGTTTGCTTTCCGTAACAGCCGTGCAGAGCTAAACAGCACTCATTGTGAAATGTGTAAAAAATAGCTCCTGGTTTTTTTTTTTTCTTTTCCTCGATCAAAGCTTCACAGCATCTAATCAAGCCCTGTCCCGTAGATGTAGTGTGGTATTGATTTGGGGAAACTCTCTACCACCTGCAAACAGGATTTCAAGGTTGTATGCAGTAAGGTACAAGACAGGAAAAGTTTGCAAATTTTCAGCACATATATTTCATTATTGCTAAAATAAAACTCACATGAGTGTCTGTGTTCTCCCGTTAACCCGAAGCTTCAAGGTGCATATATTCAGCATATACTTAGCAGAGCCTACTGTAAAGCAAGTCTGTTTTTTTTTTGTTTTTTATATCAGGTATACATCTCTAGGCATTTGAGAGTGACAATGCCTTGGGTTGTGTGCAGGTATAAGGTTCTAAAAGAGTCTGGCAGGGTCACCCCTCCTTCTTGGTATCTGTTTCTGTGCTTGGACCTGGGTCACGCTCTGCATCCCAGGAGCTCCGATCTGCAGAGACAGCATCCGCTTAAATTTACACACACTCACACACACAGGGCACATTTTAACACTCCAAATGAGTTCCCATGGGACTGCGTGTCTCCTGTCAGGACCTGCTGTTGCTTAGAGACTGGTCCTGGGGCAAAGCAGTCACACTCACTCACTCCCCTGGCCTCGTTACACTTTTACTAAGAATGATGGCACTCGGCTGTGTATTGTCCACAAGCTTAAGCAACTGTCTGCTCTACTCCACACATTTTCAAGGCTAACCAAGATTCATTCCCCAGATTATATAAACACAATCTGTGCTTTTTTTAACCACCTTTTTAAAGAAAGGTAGTGACATTCAAATATCTGCATTTGTTTTCCTTACCCTGAATGTTGCATTTGCATACCAAAGCAAAATTTCACGTTATTCCCATTGTCACTGGTAGTATTAGAAGTTTTTATCAGACAGCTTCTCTTTGAGTTCAGTAATTACACACAAGCAGCCCATTTTACAGAGATAAATCTGTTGGCAGCTTTGAGAACAGCCCTGTGGATTTTTTTTCCCTAAATCTTGCTCTTTCACAGCATATTTCACTGTGATAACTTTAGTACTTGTGTATGCATGCACAGGAACACCACATTGCCTTATGTGTTTCATGATCCATTTCTCTGCATGCATGTGTGTCGCAATAGCGAGAGGAAGATAAATGATGCTTTTTTCTGTCTCTGGTGCAGCTAAACTGTGTATCAAATGTGCTGATTTGCCAAATGAAGGACAAAAAGGGTTTGCCGAAGCTGCGGCTGCGCCTCTGACAGAACACAGATATGGTGGGGTATTTAAGGAGGTGAAGAGGCATTTAAACCCAATGTTTTTTTCGCTTCTCTCAGCTCCAAGCTGCTGCCTAAGGACTGCGCTTTGATGAGCTGTTCAGTGACACGATGGAAAGAACTCCTGTTGAGACCATTTTGTTAACCAATACTCTTGTATTACAGGTACCTTCCTGGGGTTAGCCTGTTAGTCTGTGATTAATACCAAGGTTTTATAAAGTTAAAAAACAGAGAAGTGACCAGAGTTGCCTTTGTCTCTCAGTACTGCAATTTGGTACAAGTTACAGAATGAGCACTTTTTTTCTCATGTAAACCTAAAGGCTGCCCAGTAATTAAAGGGGAACACCGTTTTTTTTTTTTACATTGGGTCCTTGATTTTACGTTATTACATCATGTTCTACTCACCCATATTAGTTTTGTGTCATTTGGAGCTGTTCTGAAGATATTCCATTAGGTTATATCCAAGTAACGTCTTCCTATGTGCAACGAGTTGAAGGCACAAACTAAACTGTTCATAATTTATCATTTATGGTACGCCAGCGTTCATACTGTAACATGTAGGCGAATCACTGTCCCCCAGACATCCGCGGTTATATTTTTTTATTTATATCTTTTAAAATCAAAGCGGCGCGTGTATGACGTCATCTGTGTGCCGGACTGGAGTTGTGACCGGCAGCCCGGGCCACAGGCGGCTATGCTCTACCCCTTCTATTCATTCAGCTAGCTAATCTAGCTAATCTGAATCATTCAATTCCATTTTGAGATAGAGATTGTCTGTTGTAGTAGCACTAGACATTTTCCAGGCATGTGAGTAAAACTAGCAGCAGTTCAGCGGACAGGATGAATGAACGGTAACCGGCGTGCGCGGATGACGTCATTCACACTCCGCTTTGTTTAAAAAAAATATATAAATATAAAAAATATAAATGTGGATGTCTGGGGGACAGTGATTCGCCTACATGTTATCAATGCTGGTGTACCATGAAGAATAAATTATGATCAGTTTAGTTTGCCCATAGGAAGAGGTTACTTGGATATAACAAAACCGAAAATCTTCGGAACAGCTCCAAATGACACAAAACTAAAATGGGTGAATAGAACATGATGTAATAATGTAAAACCAAGGGCCCAATGTGAAAAAAAAAAACGGTGTTCCCCTTTAACACTTACATTAAATTAACTTGAAGGAGAATTGAAGCAGAGAATTTTCCATCTTTTCTTGGCAATAACTACTGCTTCTCAAAAGATCTGTAAGTACAGCTGAAAATGAAAAAGAAATTCAGACTTGCATAACGGCGGTGTAATTTATAACAAAAAGAGCATGACTGTGCAATGACATATGGATGAGAAGAAATAGGTTCACATATGACAAAAAAAGGAGATGTGTGCTTTTCTAGTTTCTTCATAATCAAGACATGGGATAATGGCACTCGCATGATATCTGTCCAAGGAGTCAGAACAACACAAACCGAGGATGTGTTCTAGGTATAGTTTCTTAATGATGATGAAGATGTAAAAGCCATCAAATACAGTAGGTTCTATTTACTCTCACTGTGCAAGACTCCAGCGCAGAAAAACAGACAAAAAAGTCAAACTTTGTTCTCTAAGTCTGCTGCATCACAGACTGTCTAATGAAATGCTGAAAAGGCTCTCTGTTTAAATTAGACCAGGATTAACTCTTTCATTGCCCTTATTATATAAAGTGAGGAGGTGGGGACATTACGCAGGAGGAATGTTTTCACAGATATTCTTGATTAAAATCTAAGAGATCTTCCTGCAAGGACAGAATCCCACTCAGGCAAGGAATCTAGTGATTGGAGAGAGAAAAAAAAAGCTGATTGAATTAAAGTCATTCAGTTCCTTGATATCAACTGAAAATCTAAAGTTTGTATAATTCAATTCTTTAAGAGCTAGTATGCTACATATGTTCCCCTGCTTTACCTTACCAAAAACAGGCGGATGGCTAATTACCCCTGCAAACCTATGAACTAATGGAGAAGCTGTTTTGGTATATGTCTGTGCTAAAATCCTGAGACCATAAAACCTCAGTTTTCTCCTCATACCATGGGAACCACATACCCATCCGTAGCTATTCGCTTAACTTCAGTATTTGTGCTGAAGAAGCATTTTTTTTCAGTTCCCACCGATATCCATCCTTAAAGGTGACACATTTTCCACTTTTATCTCCTTGCAGCTGTTCACTAAGCTGCAATGTGATGACCAGCCGATGCTGGAGCATGCGGAGCAGTTGCTGGGAGAACTGGGAGGAGAGATGGAGGCAGAGGATGAAGACCCAGCCGTTGTAGACGACTTTGAACCTTGCAGTGACGATGAAGACGATGACACAGCAGAGGATGCCATGGAGCACTGACTGCACCCCGTCATCTTTCCTTGAGTTTTTGAGCCCTCTTCAAAGTGCCTATTTATACCAGCTTTTCAAAGATTAAGTTGATGTACACAAACAGAGTGGCATTAAAAATCTACTCCCATCTCTTTCAGTTAAGTTGTTAATGCTTTTGTCAAAATAAGTGCATACTTGAGTAATGCTTCACCTAATCTCGACAGATGCCGATGAAAGAAATGAGTTTTTAGAGGTTTAATTCTCACTAGGATCCCCCGAATGCTTTCACCTCTGCTGTACACCCACGCAGTGTTTTATGTGAGCAGGACCGAACAACACATACACACAACAAAAAACACAAAAGAAGCATGTTAATTGCTTTGTTTCACTCAGCACAACAAGCATAACCGTTTTTTTCTTTAAGCATTGTCAGTGCTGCCCAGTTATTAACACTTCATGCTATTTTTACATCTACTGTGATTTTAATGCAGTGTTTATGTAAATGATTGATTTTTTTAAATGGAATTCAGTTTATGCTTCAGTCCAATTTTCCTTCTCTTTTTTGGTTGGGTTCAGTAACAAAAGAAAACAGCGAATTTGACATTAACTCATGCAGAGTTTGTCTTTTGCTGCTCAATTGTTCAAAGTGACTTGCATGAAAGAGAAACTTAAACAGAATTTTCAAGACAAGTTTTTGTATAACATCTTCTAAAAGTTCCACAATGTTTGGTGCGTAAAGGCCTAGCATAATAATAGCAAGTGGTTATTTTAATACAATGTATGAAATGTATAGATCAACGTTGCATAATAAAGGTGATACAAATGGATTTTTGTGGCCAAAGGTGTCAAAGAATGAAAGTATTGACTGTTTACCAATTACTCTAAAATAAATTAGTTCAAAATGTTTTCAAATCTCTATAAATAGCACAGTCACTTCTTGCTTCAAATTTAAGAAATGATGTCTTTGCACTGTTTAGACTTAAAATATATTGACCATCTGTGTTTAATTACCATCTTCTGGCATTTAACAAGATAAAATTGACATGATTGCCCTAACTGCTGTTTTTATATTGGATTTCTTGTATGATTTAGTAGATCAAATAAAAAAGTTATGTCACAACAATGCAGGTTATAGAGTTGAGAAATCCTGTTGAGCAATTATACTGCTCCAAATGAAATGCCCTGTTAAAATTATGTTCTTGATTTACTTTTTAAAAAAAACAAACCAACATATCAAGTGACAAATTTGGAGAAAACGATCCAGGTTATTTGCAATGACCAAAATCATAATTTATTGAAATAATATATTATAGATCAACATAAAGTAGTGCATAAATCGGAAGTGGAACAAAGGGATTCAAATATGTTTTGCTTTTTTCTCTTCTTTGCTCTAAAATTATTAGATATAATTTAGTGCAGTAAATTGTCTTTAGAACTCACCGTACTGGTAAATAGTTAAGGTGCAGTTTTATCTCAGTTTAAAAGCACATTTTCTGCAAAGCTCACAGGGTTTGTTAAAAAAAAAATGGTGTTGATGGAATAGTTTGCAACATGCCAAGAAGGGGGACACAGAAACGAGGAACCCTGTGTGAGGACAACCCCATCCCACATGAAACATGATGTGACAACATGCTGTTATGTTTTTACATTAAGGATTGTGAATCTGGTCACTGTAGATGTTTATTTACATTAAATACAAGGTGATCCAGGAAGACAAATAAAAAGCTGGAGAAGAATTCATGCTGGGATAGATATTCTCCTTCCTAAGACACTGACCCTAAACATATAGCCAGAGCAACCTGAAGTAGAGAACCTCCTCCATGAATTGGTAAATACTTTATACACTATATATACTATTCGGACTTAGTTGGAACTGTTTTACAGAGAAGAATTGGCTGAGATTTATGTCTTTTGATAGGACAAGATGTAAGATGCATAACTCCAAATACTTGTAGCCAGGGGCAGATTTTGGAAATTTGGGGCCCTAGGCAAAAACAGGCAGGGGGGCCTGTGAATTGAGAAGACAACACATAAAACAGACCCATTATACAGATACAGAAATGATTATAGAATATACATCTATTATTTGTTCTATGTTTTGTCTCTCCCTTATTCCTTTTCTTGTTTTTTTCCCTCTATTTTTTTTGTACTCAACTGACTTTTCATGCTGTCTCAAAAGGAATGAAAGATTTTTTCCAAGCATTAAAGGAATAGTACACCCAAAACATGATTAGCCTTTATTTTCTACTCACCCCCATGCTGAACAACACTCTGGAGTGCTTTTTTGATATCTCAAATGCATCTGGAGATCTGGGAGGCTTCTTGCTGTCTGCTGACATTCAAATAATGGAGGTCTATGGTGCCCGAGGCAGAAAGGTCCATAAAAGTCCACAAACAACGTGTCAATATTCCTCCATACTGCTCGTCCAATGTATTCCAAGTGTCCTGAGTGGGTAGCGTCCATAATTTACTCGAAACAAAGTCATTTAGAATGTTTTTAGAGCATAAACAGTAGTGTATAGGATTTCCTAAAAGCGCGCGCATGCGAGTTCACGACTCTACGGAATCCGCGGCAGACCAAACCAGATGAAAGTGCGCATTCAGCTCGGCAAAGAACTCATGCTCTTCCTCAACAATGAAGTCCTCAGACATTTTTCTTTCGTTGTTTCTTTCTTTGCACAGGTAAACAGCACATTTGTTCTTCTACGCTTGCATTGTCGGCAGAGCAGACGCTGAATGCGCACTTTCATCTGGTTTGGTCTGCTGCGGTTTACGTAGACTCGTGAACTCGCATGCACGCGCTTTTAGGAAATCCTATACACTACTGTTTATGCTCTAAAAACATTCTAAATGACTTTGTTTCGAGTAAATTATGGACGCTACCCACTCAGGACACTTGGAATACATTGGACGAGCAGTATGGAGGAATATTGAGATGTTTTTTTGTGGACTTTTATGGACCTTTCTGCCTCGGGCACCATAGACCTCCATTATTTGAATGTCAGCCGACAGCAAGAAGCCTCCCAGATCTCCAGATGCATTTGAGATATCAAAAAAGCACTCCAGAGTGTTGTTCAGCATGGGGGTGAGTAGAAAATAAAGGCTAATCATGTTTTGGGTGTACTATTCCTTTAATGCTTGGAAAAAATCTTTCATTCCTTTTGAGACAGCATGAAAAGTCAGTTGAGTACAAAAATAAATAGAGGGAAAAAAAACAAGAAAAGGAATAAGGGACTATTCCTTTAAGCTCACATTGCCGATTGCTCCTTCCTGTTTTTCCAAAAAATTGAAGGCAAAAATAAATAACACAGTCCTTCTTTTCAGTGTAGACAAGCCATGATCTGCTAATATGTTCTCCATTTTTCATTTGTAAAGTTAAATAAATATTATGAAAGCAGATAAGACAGAGGAGAGCAGGAGGCAGGGTTACGAATCTACTTGCTCTGGAAAGCAGATTTTGGTGCTTTGATATGTTTTTGCCAAAGTCTCCAGTAGCAGAAAAAAATTGCTAATTTTGGAACTAGATGCTAGAGAGTCTGAAAAGTTGCTAAAAATGGCAACAAAAGCTCTAAGTTCACAACATTGCTCTTCGCATTGTTTGTTTTCAAATGGTTTGCTGCTATTTTGACCTTTCTGAACATGTGTAGCAAATGGACCGATCCAATGTGGTGGACACTGAAGGGGGGGTGGGCTGAGACACACTTAATATAAGTGTTCTGATTGCATTTAAGTTAAAGGATTTTTATGAAAAACATAACTGATTTTAGGAGTTTTTTCAGCAATATTTGATAAACATCAATGATATTTTTTTTTCTTGTTCACAAACAAAACACGTTTTTTTTCACCTGCAGCTGTTTTGTGGCATGCTTTTTTTTTTTATCTCTGTGGGAACTTTATGTAAAGACTATAAAAACCAAGGTAACTCTTGAGCGGTCATGAGCGTACCACTGGGCTCAGCCACTGTAGCTACGTAAAATGCATCATTATAATAGAAGGTATCTCAAAAAGGCTGTGAAATGTAATTCTTTTAAATTCATCTTTCTACAATTGGATGAGTCTGTGAAGATGACAAAGAACAGCTGATAGTGTTCATGGGGATGACCTTTGAAAAGTAATATTTTTACCCTCACTTTTGCTTTTAAAAGGTGAGGATGAGAGGCGAGGAAGTCTATAAAGGGCTTAAATCACATTTGAATGACACTGAAATATAGGCTGACCAGATGTCCCAATTTTTGAGAAAAAGTCCTGCATTTTTCACTTCTGCCCCACAGATTGAAGCAATGTCTCACATTAGATTTGGTCAAATTAGATTTTTTTTTTAAACATACCGGTATTCACAGGCACCTTTTCGAAATGCAAAGAAAGCAGAGCTGCTATCATTGTCACAGAGCAGCAGCAGCAGTGACCCATGTCATGTCCAATCCTCTTAAGACAGGACAGGTAAAGGATTTTAATAAATACAATTATAATAATGTGCTAAAAGATTTTAAAAAGCAGCCCTTACATTAATGAGGACCCCAAAACATTGTTTAACTGAGGCCAGTGACAGATGATTTGCAGAGAGCTTTCCGTGAAGTTTGCGTTTGTTAGTTTTTTTAAAAGTGAATTGTGATGTAAAGCAGCAATGCAAAAGTGAGTCACAAAGGAAACACACAGCTGAAAAAGCTGCATCTGACCCACCTTGCCCCTCATGAATGTCCTAGCCCTCCTACATTTGTTTTATTTTTACATGATGTGGTCACCCTACTGTCATACCAATTCATAAAATGGATGATTTTACCACTTAAGGGCACACCAACAATGTTGGGCTCAGGTTATGCTTTTACACCTTTCTGTTGCTAAGACCTCTTTTCTGCAATTACAACTACGTAATGCAAGAACTGCTGCTCACTAGCCAAGTTTTTTGGTATGTGGAATATGCTTGTAAAAATTGGGCAAACGTCTATAGAACAGAATCCTAACTGGATACCAAACATCAGGACTTACTCTTGTATGCTGAGGGTCGAGCTAGTTAAGTCATGATAAAGTGCCAGAGCTAGTTAAACTCCTCCCAAAGATCTGAGTATTTTTTAACATGAGGCATTATTTAGCATGAGGCATTTGCATTGCTTCTTGGTTTGGGTTTCTTCAAAGACCTAATGGCCCAAAGAAATTAGCTAAACTCTGAACCACAGAGTGCAGACAAAGAGTTATTATATGATTCTTCAAAGTCTAAGTGTTTTTCTTGACCACAAAGTTGAGAAAGTGGAGATCCTCACACTTCCTCAACTTACAACTACAAGGGAAAGTAAGCGATGTCAATCTTGACCCGTTCCGTTTTTATCCAATAAAGCATAATGACAAAGAAGATTTTCAAATTAATCACATACCATTTCTTCCCATTGTCATTGGAACTGCATCTATAAAGATGCAGAACCCTTTTTCTTCTTTCTTATGGTGTGAACATAGAAATAATTGAACTGCAATATGACAGTGAGCTGCAGCCAAGGACAGTGGAAAGCAACTTCTGGGAACCTGTGAGCAGAAAAACATTTCCTGTCCTCTTGTTTTGTGAAAGTGAAGGCATTTTTTGGCTCCACATAGCTATGTGAGATGGCCTTCTCACAGATGGAAATAATCAAAGCAAAGTACCAGACATGGCTCACTCTCAGACACCTTTCTGACTGTGTGAGACTGGCTGAGTCCAGTGATGAGCCCAAGATACAAAACAATCACTGAGACTGCAGCCACAGCCATCACATCACTTTATTATAGGTTTATTACCTCATCTGCTGTACAGTATTTAAATCAGTGGGAAAAATGTCAACCTCTTTTGTCTACTTTAAGTGCACATAGCAACAGTATGATATATCTTGATTGATGCCCCTTTGACTTACTTGTAGAGGTTTTTACTGTATTCCTGTGC